GGACAGAAGTACACAGAGGTTCCTTCCACTCACTGCTTCTATATTAAGCCTACTACCCAGGTGGCTGTCCACATACTGTCAACCCAGGATCCAGGGAACATCATAGAAGAAGGAGTGGAAATAATCTAAGAGCTGGAGGAAGGGGTGGAGTGTTGTGTCATGCTGTCTTCTGGGCATGACATGGCCATTACTAATGAACTCAGTAGCTGTGATTACCTGCACAAAACTTACGAAAGATTGGGCCTACCACATTGCATCATAGATGGCAGAAGGGCTTATGATGCCCTTCCCTATCCTAAGGATTTAGAGGCAGTTAATGGTTGGGAGAACATGCCATTGTTTTTAGTGGTGTAGCCATTTGTGATGTCCATGCCTCTGTGATTAACCCTGACCCATTCTCACATTAGCAACTCTAATCAACTCATTGGGTCACACACAGAGACATACAGACACACACAAAAACACACACAGACACACACACAGGACAGGAAAAGGATACTAGTTGGAAAGGGGAATGGGATCAGCAGGAGTGGAAGAGGGGTATAAGAGAGGGTAATGGGGAGTGAATATGAGAAAATATTTTATATACATGTATGAAACATCATAGTAAAGAATATCATTAACTATAATAAGCATACCCTAAAATTCCAAATCACACAAGAGAAACTATATAAATAGGACTAATTCACAAATAATCAAGGGATTTTTGACTAAGTCACAAAGTCAGTACATTGAATAAATGATTGGCTCCTCAACATGTGGGCAAGAACAAACCAAAATCCACATTCACAGAGAGCTGGAGAAATGGCTCAGTGGTTAAGAGCTCTGGCTGCTCTTGTGTAAGACTCAGGTTCAGTTCGCAGCTCCCTCATGACAGTAATTCCACCTTCAGAAAATTCAACGTCCTCTTCTGGTCTCTACAGGCATTACATGACAAAGGTGTGCTTATATGCAAGAAAAGCACTCATACCCATAAAATAAAAATAAATACGTAATAAAAATTAAAGAAAATCCACATTCACAAAATGAGCTTGGATCTGCACTGTGCAGCACATATCAACATGAAATCAAATGGGTCTTAGCTTGAAATGTAAGACCTAAAATTAAAAAATGTCTACACAGAGGTTTCTCGGTGTAGCTGATAATGGAATGGTGTCAAGAACATAAACTCTGAAAATCCATCAAACAACAAACATAACTTTTTGAATGGCAAAGATATAAACAGACAGCCGAAGAAGTTATGGAAATAGAAAATAAGTGCATAGAAGATGCTCAGCATTCTTAGCGATTGGTGTAACGCACATTAAAACTACAGGAATGTGTACAACATACCCCATCAGAAGAGCAGAAATTTTAAAAATGACAGCACTGTCTTGTGAGGATAAGGAGGAGGTGAAACGTCCATATGCCCCTGATGGGAATAGAAGTTGGGACAAATACTTTGAAAAATGAAAATTTTGCAATCTCTCAAGGGAACATAACATTGTGGGTGGTAGATTTGTAAACTCTTGATTGTGGCAATTAAACATATGCTTAGCATACGTATCCAAACCTATTACACGAGGGCTGGAGAGACATCTCACCAGTAAGAGCACTTCTTGCTCTTCCAGAGGACTCAGTTCAGTTCCTAGCACCCACGTTCAGTGGTTCGCCCTCTTCTGGGCTCCAGAGACACTGGCACATGCATGGCATGCACATACATTTTTTTAAAAACTTATAATGTACTGATACAACTGTGTGAAGTTGTGTCAATAATACCTCAGTAGAGGTAACGAAAAGCTCTATTTTAAGAACAAACGTAAATCAGTGGCTGGAAGACAGAGATGCAGGACAAAGCTAGAGGAGTGCGATCTTTATATCAGAGCAACGAGAGTGCTCGCTGGGTTCGAAGCAGGGTGTCACCATGATCACAGCTAGAGTGCTAGTGCATAAGCAGTCTCTGGAGGTCTGTAGGAAAGAAACCAAGACAAGACCCTGCAGTATTTGAGATACAGACCATTGTAACCTGACCTGTTACAGATGGCAAGCCCTAACCAGTGCCCTGTCCACCACCCTCAACCCGTGCCCAACAAAGGAGTCAGTGCGAGGTGCTGCGGGCTCTCAGGGTCAGCAGATGGTGGTCTTCTCAGGCTGTCCACTTAGGCCCTTGTACTGGCCTTCTTTCCTCTGGGAAATCTGAAAACCAAGGTTTTCATTAAAAATTAGAAAGTATTCAGTTGTCTGTCACCCTGTAACCCACCACCCCTTTTCCATGGTCTGACCTAGAGAACATCACCTCTGTACCCATCTCCCATCCAGGGTGTTGGGGCTCAAGTAGAAGCTCCTGCCCCTGGCCCCTCCAGGTGAGACTGGCCTGAGGCTTTGTCCCTTGCTGAGTGTGGTCCCAGGTGTCTTTCCCTGGTGACCCCAGCATGCCTTGGAGGCCACAAAGCAGCCTTCAGGTGTCAGAAAGGAAAATAGGTCAGACTACTTTATGGGAGACACTGCAGAAAATAAGCTAAGCAGGATATGCTAGAGTGTGGGGTCTAGGAGGGGGAGGGATCTGATTCATCCTTGACCCCACTGCAGAGTCTCTGGGTCTATTCAAAGGTGGGAATGTGGCAGGAAACAATGGGCCATGTGGAGAAAAGCCTTCAGTGTCAGAGGAAGGCACCTCAGTGGTTTTCCATCCACAGTTCCCCGCCCTCTGCCATACTTCTTACCGGCTCCTTCCCTAAATTCAACTGACAAACACTTCAGATCTCACCCTGGCTCTGATCAAAGGACAGTCGGCCTCACCTTGCACATGTCTGGATACACTGGGGAACAGCGGGACCACGGCACATGCCACCTTCATGTGGCTGTTGTGAAGCAGTGGAGCAGGGTAGTAAGAGGAGGCAGCAGCAAGCTGAGTTGTTGGGACATGGAGGCATTTCCAAGAGGGGAAGTCATATGAAATATGAAATTTGCAGGGACTGTCAAAGTGTTCCTATGGCTTTAAAATTATGTTGGTGAATTAAGCTGAACTCCGAGCATTATGTCTGGAGAGCCTTGTGTCTCAGGAGAAAGTTTGTGCAAGAATGCCTGCTGAGGAGCTATGTCCGGAATGCCGGTACTCCCCTGGTTTCTCAGGAGACATGCTGATCTCCCGAGAATACATGTTATGGAGATAACACTGTCTTGCTCATTATATTTAGCAGAAGTGTTATAGTTCAGACACTTTATTATTGTTCAGTGTTCTGCAAACATTGGCGGTAGTTCCCACGAGCATGAAAATAGAGCATGAAAATAAAAGCAGACCTGCTGGTGTTGTCGCACCCCTGTGTGAAGAAGCCACAGGAGTGCCCTGGTTCTGGTTAATTAACAGTTCTGTGGTTATCCCTTCAGGCTCTGTGGCTGCTCCCTGGTGGCCACAGAAATTACCTGGTTTCAAAATGCGAATCCTCTTCATTTCCACAAATCTTCACTAGTGTCAACTTGGGACAAGCAATATGGGGAGGAATCTCTCTGTCTCTGTCTCTTTGTCTCTGTCTCTTGTCTCTGTCTCTCCCTGTCTCTCCCTCCCTCGTGTGTGTGTGTGTGTGTGTGTGTGTGTGTGTGTGTGTGTGTGTGTGTGTGTGTGTGTGTGTGTGTGTGTGTGTGTGTGTGTGTGTGTGTGTGTGTGTGTGTGTGTGTGTGTGTGTGTGTGTGTGTGTGTGTGTGTGTGTGTGTGTGTGTGTGTGTGTGTGTGTGTGTGTGTGTGTGTGTGTGTGTGTGTGTGTGTGTGTGTGTGTGTGTTTGTGGTCTTGCTGGCCAGCCAGTCTAGCTGAGTCAGGGAGCTCCAGTGAGAGACCCTGTCTCAAAAACAATAATGTGGAGAGTCATTGAAGAAGGCATCTAATGTTGACCTCTGGCCTCTCCGTGCACATGAGCACACACGCACACGTACACACACACACACACAAACACACACACACACACAAACACACAGTCCGAAAGGTCAGGCCACTGTGATCTTCTTCCGGTCTCCTTTAATGACCCAGAAGCCCATCTGAAGGCTGGAGGTGGGCTGATCTCCCTAGGCATCTTTAGGCCCTTGGGGGTTGGTCTCCATAGTTTCCTTGATGATCACCAGCACTCTGTGGAGGCCCTCAAAGTTTGTGAGCCCTGCAGAAGGCTTCACTGGGCTGGACCCATCCTGGTCCACTGCCCATCTTAGAGCCGCCTGCAGCCGAGTGTCAGGAGGACCATGAACTCAGACCTCGATCCTAGAATCGTCCTTCATTCCTCTGGGTCCCAGGTGCCCTGAGAAGGTTGCTGTCCCCTCCCTCTTTTCTCTGCAGACATGAGGGCATTTTGTCCTTTCAGTTAGCTATGTGGATACAGCATCCTGCTGGCACACAGCAACTTGCAATTCTTACCTGGCTCTCACCTGTAGATGCAGACATCCATTCCCGGCTGCTCTCCTGTCTGGATTCAGCATCCAGGGAGCTCAGTGGCTCCAACATCACTTGAAAACAGACAGGATAAAGTGAGTCTCTTAGTGGAAATAGGCAGGACTCACTTATCCCTGATTGTGCTGACCCTGTGTTAGGATCGTTCCTCAAGCTGATTCCTCCTCAGTGATCCTCTGCTGACTCAACACACACACACACACGCAACACACACACACATACTCACACCCCCCACACACCAAACAAACGAACACAGAAGTGTTTTTCTTTTAAAGAAAAGGACATTAGCATAAACGCAGAAGTGCATTGTAGCCACTCCACCTACCTGTTTTTGCCACTGTCTTCCTGGTCCTCATCCCTGTCTACATGCTGCCTCGCCTGGGCAGGCATGCAACAGCAGCACAAATTCCTGAAAGTGCGGGTGACTCTTCTCTTCAAGCCCTTCCAGATCCTCCTTCTTAGAGGGGCTCTAGGCACAGCCTTGCGCTGATGACTGAATTGCTCCTGAGGTGAGCTTTGTGGGGCAGCTGAGCTTTGTGGGGCAGCTGAGCTTTGTGGGGCAGGTGAGCTTTGTGGGGCAGCTGAGCTTTGTGGGGCAGGTGAGCTTTGTGGGGCAGGTGAGCTTTGTGGGGCAGCTGAGCTTTGTGGGGCAGGTGAGCTTTGTGGGGCAGGTGAGCTTAGTGGGGCCAATGAACTGCTGTCTTTGTATGGACTGGTGCTGTTCTTTGTTTCAGCTTCCTCTCTGGAGATGAGAAGTGATCTATCTTGGAGAATGTGCTGTTCTTTGTGTTGGGAGTGACAGCTCTGGTCACATCCTGGGGCAGCCAGCTACCATGGTCCTGAGGTGTTTCTGTTGGGGATGAGCTGTTGTCTCTGTTATGAGTGGTGATGTTCTCACACAGGGCTCCTTCCCTGGTGAAGTGATGTGCTGTGTGCTGTGAGGAGGTGCTGCTCTTACAGGTGGGAGTGACAACTGTGGTAACTTCTGGGGGTTGCCCATCAATGTGCTCCTGAGGTATTTCGGTGTATGATAAGTTGCTGTCTTTGTCACCCGTGCTGGTGTACACACAGAAGGATTCCTTTGAGGAGAACTGAGGTGACATATCCTGTGGAGACATGCTGTTCTTTGGGTTGTCAGGGCCAGCTGTGGCTGCCTCCTGGGATGACTGCTTTGAGATGGCTGATGGTGTACACTCTGAGGAAAGGTCGCAGCATGATGTAAACTCAGAGGTGGTGCTCCCCATCTCCGCGCAGATGCTGCTGCTCCCCATCTCTGCACAGATGCTGCTGATCCCCATCTCCCTGCAGATGCTGCTGCTCCCCATCTCTGCGCAGATGCTGCTGCTCCCCATCTCTGCACAGATGCTGCTGATCCCCATCTCCCCGCAGATGCTGCTGCTCCCCATCTCTGCGCAGATGCTGCTGCTCCCCATCTCTGCACAGATGCTGCTGATCCCCATCTCCCCGCAGATGCTGCTGCTCCCCATCTCTGCATAGATGCTGCTGATCCCCATCTCCCTGCAGATGCTGCTCCTCCCCATCTCCCCACAGATGCTGCTGCTCCCCATCTCCCCACAGATGCTGCTGCTCCCCATCTCCGCGCAGATGCTGCTGCTCCCCATCTCCCCCCAGATGCTGCTGCTCCCCATCTCCCCGCAGATGCTGCTGCTCCCCATCTTCATGCAGAGAAAACTTCTATGACTGTTCTCTAGCCAAGAAAGGTTCACAATATCGCCTATTCTTGGCCGTTTTCTGGGGTCTACAGTTAGCAATTTAGCGATCACTTCCCAAAGGTCTGGCGACAGCTTGAATTTCATGGGGTACTTGCCTGCCAGGACTCTCCTCTTTATTCCTTCGTATGTATAATCTTGGAAAGGGAGGTGCCCCGTCGACATAAAATAGAGTACAACACCCAAGCTCCAGGTATCGGTTGCACGACCGTCGTACCCATTGCCCTCAAAGAGTTCTGGGGCGCAGTAGGGGACTGTGCCACAGAAAGATGTCAGCTTCTGCCCATGGTTAAGTTTGATACCTAACCCAAAATCACTCAGTTTAACATTGTCATGTTTGTCCAGTAGTATGTTTAGTGGCTTTATGTCCCGATGGGCAATCCCTTTCCAGTGGCAATAGTGTACGGCACATACTAGCTGTTTAAATACCCTACGAGAGACCTTCTCTTTTAGATAGCCTGCCTGCTTAATCTTGAGCAGCAGGTTTCCACCTGCCGCATACTCAAGAACCACATAGGTGTTATCTGCGGTTTCGATCACTTGCAGCAATTTAATAATATAACAGTGATCAAGGTCTTTCATAATTTCTATTTCTGATTTACTGTGGACATTCCTCCTGCTCTTTTGAAGAATTTTTATGGCCACTTTGGTCCGTGTGCTGAGATGTTTGGCAAGCTTTACTTCCCCGAAGCTTCCGTAGCCCAGGGTCTTCATGATCTTATACTGCTCGGTTAAGGCTTTTTCAACATCCGAGCCGGAACTGGGGTTTCGATTCATTTTTGTTAGGTCAGATGGTCAGTTTCAACACCAACTAGTGATGTAAGATTAAAAATGAATTAAAATCAGGTCTAGGGCATAAATTTATAGCTATAAGCCCCTGCACTGAAAAATGAGAGAGACTCCGAACAACACAGTGAAGCACTTTAGGGTCCTAGGAACAAGAATCAGCCAGACCCAAAAAAGGAGAAGAAATAACCAAGATCAGAGTGGACATTAAGGAAACGGGAAGGAAAATCACAACACAAAGACATGATGATTTTGAAGGATAAAGGAAATTGACCAACCTTTGCAAAAATAATCAATAGAAAACTAGAAGGCACAAATTAATAATGATGGAGACAAAAGGAGGTGATATTACCACAATTACCACTGAAATTCAGAAGATCTCTAGGGAATACTGTGAAGAAATATATTCCAGTGAACTACAAAATCTGAATGAAGTGGATAAACTTCTAGCCAAGTATGAACTCCCAACATTGAAATAAGAAAATATAAAACATCTAAGTTGACCAAGAAAAAGCAATAAAAACAGTGTGGAGAATTTTTAAAAAACTAAAAATGAACCTACCATATGACCAGGTTATACCACTCCTTGGCATATACCCAAAGGACTCATCCTATTG